ATGCATCAAAATCACGGCATTTATTCCTAAAACTACCATCAGATTAATTCTCTTACTTTTATACTGAGGTCACCCATGATGAGTTGGACTGTTCTTTCAATTGAAATGATGTGATCCCTCAACCTGGGCTCTGAAAAACAGAGGGAGAAATTGAGAGGCCTGACTCAGCAGGGGTGCATTATGTTCTAGGATTGATGAAAACTCAATAGAATTGTGATACATAATTGCAAAGTCCCTTGTCTTTAACATCTTATGTTATTCAATTTCTAGATGTAGAGCGCGAGTGCTTTCTTTGTTTCCTATTACATTTGTTTATTGTTGTTTAAAATGTTAGGTTCCATAGTGCAGCAGTCCTCAATCTTTCTGGCACCAGGGACTGGTTTCACAGAAGACAATTTTTCCACAGACCCAAGGTAGGGGATGGTTTTGGGATGATTCAAGCATGTTACATTTATTGTGCTGTCAAACTTCTCTGCTAATGATAATCTGTATTTGCAGCTGTTCCCGAGTACCAGCATCACAGTCTCAGATCATCAGGCATTAGATTCTCATAAGGAGCAACCTAGATCCCTCACACGCGCAGTTTGCAGTAGGGATCACTCTACTAGGAGACTCTAATGCCACTGCTGATCCGACAGGAGGCAGAGCTCAGGCAGTGATTCGTGGGATGGGGAGTGGCTGTAATACAGATGAAGGTTGGCTAGATTCACCTCCTGCCTTGTGGCCTGGTTCCATGGCCCAGGGTTTGGGGCTGCAGCCACAGTGGATTCAATAACATCATGCCTGATGGATCAGCCCTAAATTTTGTCAGACTGCTTCATATTTATCTGCTGATTCTTCTGTAGATCGCAGTGCTAAATGAATTTCAAAAAAACTATATCATACTGTGCAAAAGAATTCTTATATTTTATTGAATCTAAGATATCACCAATTTCATGATGCCCAACTATTTTATATTGCACCAAAAAAAATAGTGGCCAGTTATAATTAAAGGTGCTATCAATTATAAGATGCATTAAATATTATGAAAATGTGTGCTTCCTGGAATTAATGAAATATGGCAATTAATTAAATTCTGCTCTTTTCCAAATTTACCAGACTCTAGAGAATTGTACACTCCTCCCATCTCCCACCTCCTCTGCTTATTGGGCCACTTAACCAACCTACTAGGACTTCTAAATTCTAAATTTGATTCTCAGAAATTCTACTCATTCTTTTCAACTGGGTGCATCCATAAACATCATGAAAGAAGAGAAGTAACTGAAAATGCCTGTTGAAAAGGATTGTAGATTGTAGAAGACTGAGAAGACAGAGTTTCCACTTATGCATGATGTAAGCATCCAAAAGACACAGGATAGGGTTAGAGAATGCATAGGCTTCAGTTTGCTTCTTGGCACGAAATAAACCACTCTGGCTTCATTCTCATTGCTTACCCTCAGCATTGATAATCGATCTTAACAAAGTCAGGATTCCTGTTCGAGTGGCTTCATTATTACTTCTTATTTGTTCATCAAAAAATTCCAGCAGTTCTGCAGGGTTGGAATGGGCTGCAGGTTTAAGAAATACTGGAGTTGTAAAGACTCATTTTCATCTTAGGTAAAATATTTGTGATTGGGAAGAGGGGAATTTTGTCATGAAGATTGTCAAAGTCACTCTTCAGTTGGTGATTTGGCTTCATTATGTCTGTGCCTCTTCAGTATCACAGAATTAATTAAGCAGTTTGATCACTAAGAGAGCTTTCTCTACCTAGGCCACTTCTGTTCATACCTGTGAATGTGTTCTTATTTGGAAATTAGGGTCTTTGAAGATGTAATCAAGTTAAGATACAGTCATGAGAGTGGGCCCTAGTTTGATATGACTGGAGTCCTTATAAGAAAAGGAGAAGAGACACAGACAGAGGCACAGTGAGAACCCCACGTGAAGATGTAGGCAGAGATCAGAGTGATGCTTCACCAGCTGTGAAGCTAGAGAGCTGCAGGGATTGAAGCAGGGAAAGATGAGGAAACACCTGGCTGGCGGAGAGTAGTTTGTTTTGGAAATTGTCAGTGAATTAGGCTGGGGTTGGGGGAGAAGAGGAAAGTATAGAGACAGATATACCAGTCAGGAGAGAAACAGAAAGGTATGCATACATAAGGCATACATACATGATGGAATGGTATGCAGTGAGCTAGGAGAAGTGACATATTTGAGGGAGGGCAGAGGAGTGGGAGGTGTTGAATTGCTGCCGATCTCATTCTCAGAGACTTTGCTGGAACATAGTTTTGTATCCTGGCCCTGGGACCTTGGTGCTTCCCATACAACCTGTGTTGGGCATTCTAACCAGACATTGGAGGGCTTGTGATCTAAAGGCAATAGGAAAGGGAGAGAGTGAAAGGAAGGAGAGAGAGAGAGAAAGGCAGTGACCGATAGCTAGAGGCTTAGATACTGAGAGATGACTAGGGAGAAAAAAGGGTGACTTCCAATTTGATACAGTTTCAAATAATCTCAAATACCAAGAAAAAAGCAATTTCCTATTTGTGGGGTCACCAACTTATCTCAATTTTCCTAGGACTTTTCTGGTTTGAAAACTGAAAATTCTGTCTCCCTGGTACCACCTCCCCACCCTGACCCTAGTTCTAGGCACCCTAGCATGATTGTCACTCTTCCTATACTGCTCCTCCTTGGAACTTGTGCAGAGAGGGGCAGGCACAGAAAACTGTGAGCTGAGGAAGCATCGTGTGTGTGTGTGTGTGTGTGTGCGCGTGTAAGTAACTAATGTGATAGATCTCACATCCTGTACCATTGTCATCGTCATCATGTGGAGACAATTTTACTAAAAACCTGGATGTTGGGTACTACCTAGAATGAGGAAACACCTTGAGGCTTCAATTTCATTTTCTTTTACTGGAAGCTCCGGAACTCTGCAGATCTGAATGGGGAGGAAAAATCAGTAGTGGATGTCAAAAACAGAAAGCCGGTTAAAAGTTAACAATCAGATTTGACAGCATGGTCTTACCTGGTGGAGTAAACTGATAAAGATGGATTGTCTCAAGCTCCGTGGAAGGCCGATATCGTAAAGGACTGTTGCCGTCAATATTTGTTTAAGACTCTAAAATGGAAGTTCTCACAGGTTAGCTGGGGGCTGCTAATGATGCAGAGCACAGGACGTGGAAGGCAAATAATTGTGTTTTGTGAGGAGAACGAATGCATCACCTTCCTGCAGTTACAAGTTTTCTTTAGTGATTCTGGCCTCTCTACCTTGTTCAGTGCCAGCAGCTTGACATGGAGATCCTTAATCCCTTTCTGGAGTTCCCAGCATCCAGTTAGGACAACCTCTTTTCCACCTCATATTCCCCAAGAGGTATTTAAATTCAGCTGCCCAAAAGGAGTTTAAGTTCCTCAGGCCCTTTTGAGACTTACTACCATCGATTCTCTGATTCAGTTCCTTTAGGGTGTGGCTCTTACCTGAGTGACATGGAAATCAATCTCTTTGTCTTTATACTGGCTCAGAAGCCAGGGCACCTGGCTCAGGGCGTATTCACAGAAGTCTGCCCGATGTAGCAGCAGGCTCACTGTGGGGCCGTGGGCTTTAATGATATGCAACGTCTGTAAGGTAGCAAACAAATACCATTTCTAATACTCTTTTAATACATTTTCAGAGCACCAGGAGCTTTAGGTATCACCCCTCCACACCAAAAATTTCCTCACTGCTTCCAGCCAAAAAATCATTCTTTAGAAACTTTAAAAAATGTTCAGGTTAAGATCATTGCATGAGACAAACTTGTATTTGTATCTACATCTGTAGTTATATCGACACTCCTTTCAATACTTGCCCTTCTCTGCTGGTTTTTAACCTCTCTCTAATAGTCACTTTCTTTCAGTGTATTAATGAATTTAAAATTTCCCTCACATTAAAAAATATTCATTGATTCCACCATATCTTGACCACCTTTATTATCCTATTATCCCCACCGGAGTCTGTTTCTCTTTCCTTTTCTTTGGAGCAAAGATTTTTGAAGAAGTGGTTTACATTTTCTGTCTCCACTTCTCACCTCCCATTCACCCCCTC